CAAGCCAATGGGTTTTGATCTCTGGTCATTGCCTTCCAGGACTTTCTTCACTCTGGAATGATGTACCCAGGGTTTTATGCCTGCAAATTTTAAAGAAGTGTGAGTGGTTAGCAAAACATCATCAGGACCAGACCACCTCTCTGACAGTTGGGCTTGGTCATCTCCACTCTTCCAGGTCTCAAGTAAGACCCACTCACGAGATGTGAAAGGATACAAAGGTTCATCTAGAGGCATAGGAGTCCTAAAGAGAGCAAAGTTACGAGTTACAGCTATAATAAAATGTCTTGGATAGGTTTTATGGATGGTTTGATCCTACATTCTTGTTCTATGTCTGGTGCAGTGCCCAAAATTGAAGCTTGGAATGGTCTTCCAAAACCATTTCAAAGGGGACTTAAATGTAGCCCACTTCCAGGAAGGCCAGATGAGGAGGATTGAAGAAACTTGCAATGCTGGCTAAATTCCCTTCAACTCCTCCCTAATCAAAGGATGTTGCTTTCCCCTTGGGAGTCTGCTCCCTTCCAGCAATTCTACTCATACAGGATCTGTATTTTTGGCATGTCCCAGGGTTCCATCAGCCCAAACCACTTCACTGCTCTTAAAGGTTTCTGGGGGGGCACTTTGCCTTTTGGTGGAGCATCCGAGTGAGTCTCATCTGGAATTTCAGGACATGTTCTGGGACTACTTGTAGGTGCAGCCTCTGATCTTGGGGTAAGAAAATAATCTATTCATTAAGTTTATGTAAGAGGTCACAGCCAAGGAGGTGGATTGGACATTCTTCCATTTGTAAAGAGCTATGTTGGAGGTTTGTATCTTCAAGTTGGCATTTCAGAGGTTGTAGGAAGATTTTCTGTTGTAGCCTTTGCGTGACCCCGATGGCTGGTGCAGTCCTCTTGCTTTTCAGCCCCAGTTTGCACTCTGGCAGTGCTGGTAGGACAGAAGGCATCTAGCCACTTGTTGGCCAATCTGTTTCTCTCTCCCTCCCTTCTTCCTTCTCTCTCCCCACCTTCTCTCTTGCTTCTCCCTCTTCTAACTCCCCTTGTAAATAAGCCTCTTTTCCCCTCAAAAGCTAGGAATTTTTTGTGGATTTTTGTTCGTTTTGTTTTTTTTTTAAAGATTTATTTATTTATGCATACAAGAACTGGGTTATAGGCCAGAGGTGTGTGTGTGGGGGGGGGGGGCGCTGAGAGAATTCACCAGAGACAGAGTGGGGTCAGAACAGGCGGATTGACAGAAATATACCGCTGAGGGGAGGCAGGAGAGGTCTGCTGTGCCATGTGGGTAGCTCCCTGGCTGGGGATCAAACTCGTGCTGCAGTGGCTGCGGTCAGCTTCATAGTTGCATCTTAACCCCTTGCGCCACCAGGGAGGCCCAAAAGCTAGGAATTTCTGTGGAGGGTTTATATGGAGGTTTTTAGGGAAGCTCCATTATGTAAACACAATTGATTAAATCAATGACCATTGGTGATTGGATTCAATTTTCAGCCCCTTCCCTTTCCCAGGAGGCAAGTGGGGATTGGGTCTGAAAGTTCCAGCCCTCTAATCCTACCCTCCAATCACATGATTGGTTCCATTGGCATCCAGCCTCCACCCTGAAGTTATGTGGGAGCCCACCTAGAGTTGCCTTATCAGCATAAACTCAGGTATGATTGAAAGGGGCTTATTAAGAACAGCAGACTAACAAAGGATTCTGCTATCACTCAGCAAATCCCAGGGACTTTAGATCTGTGCCAGGGACTGGGGGCAAAATCACTTATTTATTTCTAGCCCTAGATCGTGAAGAGTTTCTGTTTTTGTTTTCTAAAAACTTTATAGGTTTTGCATTTTACATTTGTCTGTGATCCATTATGAGGTAATTGTTGTGTAAGGACTGAGATTTCAGCTGAGGTTCTTTTAACCTATGGATGTACAATTGTTATGGCCCCATTGAATTGTTTTGTCCCTTAGTCAAAAATCAGTTGACCATATTTATGTGAGCTATTTCTGGATCCTCTGTTCTGTTCCATTGATCTGCGTGTCTATCCCTCCACCAAAGCCACAATCTCAGCTTCCTGTGCCTATGCAATAAACTTGAATGTGGGTGGGAGTGATTCTCCCACTTTATTCTTCTTTGTCAATATTTATTTACCAATTCTAGGGGCCGTGCCTTTCCATAGAAATTTTAGAATATGCTTGTCTATGGATGTTGAACAGACTCTCAGGCGCTTACTTGCTCCCATCCACCCTCTTTGGTGACATGTCTCTTCATGAATTGTGCCCATTTTCTATTTTTTTTTTAAAAAGATTTATTTATTTGTGCATACAAGAGCTGGGGTACAGGCCAGAGATGCGGGGGGTAAGAGGATTCACCAGAGACAGAGTGGGGAGCAGAACCGGTGGATTGACTGAAATACACTGCTGAGGGGAGCAGCGGGCAAGACAGGAGAGGTCTGTTTCGCCACGTGGGTTGCTCCCTGCCCGGCCAGGGATCGAACTCGTGCTGCAGAGGCTGCGGATTGCTTCATAGTGCGGTGCTTTACCCCTTGCGCCACCAGGGAGGCCCCAACATTCCAATTTCTTGACTTTTGTGAAGTTTTGTATTCTTATTTTGTTTCCTCATATTCATTGCTAGTATATAAAAATACAGCTTTTTTTGGTAGGTTCCTTGGGGTTTTCTATATAGACTATCATGTCACTTGTAAATGGGGACATTTTTCAATTTGTATGCCTTTTATTTCATTTTCTTTGACTGCTCATTAGCACAGATTTTGAAGGATGCCTTTTTCTACATCCCAGTAGATGCCCAGGATCAGCTACTCTTTGCTTTTATTATTTTTAAAAGATTTATTTATTTATACAAGAACCGGGGTACAGGCCAGAGGCGCAGGAGGGTGAGTGGATTCACCAGAGACAGAGCGGGGAGCAGAACAGTCAGACTGATGAAATACACTGCTGAGGGGAGCAGCGGGCAAGACAGGAGAGGTCTGCTCGCCACGTGGGACCCTTGCCGGCTGGCCCAAATCGAACCCGTGCTGCAGAGGCTGGGGACAGCCTCACAGCGCGGTGCTCAACCGCCTGCGCCACCGGGGGAGGCCCTACTCTTTGCTTTTAAATGGCACGATCCTGAGTCCAAAAGTACTCTGCAAAACTGCTTCATTACATGGTCTAGATTTCCCACCAATGAAGCTGCAGTGACAAGATGCTCAGTGTCATTGGTCGGCAAGGGAATAGAGATTAAACTAAAATAAGATGCTATTCACACCCCTCTCATGTTGCAGAAGAAGGGCCCTGACTACTCCCTCATGGAATGTGAAATACTGAAAGCTGGGGTCATATCTGAGGGCCGTGGACATCTACACTTAAACCGAATAGGGAAAGATTCTCACATAAGACAAGCCCAACATGGGCTGTGTGGGCCTTTTATCTCTTGACAAATGCTCCAGACCCATGGTCCACTTTTATGTAGCCAAGTGGGGATTAAAAGACTCCATGCACAAGACTGCTTTTCCCAAAATTGCTATCCCAAAAATTTTGATTTCATTTTGTATTTCATTGTATTTCATTTTCACTTAGTTCATTGTATTTTTAAAACTTTTCCCTGAGATTTCATTTTTGACCCTTGGATTATGTGCCAATATGTTGTTTAGTTTCCAAGTGTTTGGAGATTTTCCTGTTATCTTTTTGTTATTGATTGCTAGTTTGATTCTGTGGTGGTCAGAGAATATATTCTGTATTACTTTAAGTCTTTTACATTTGTTAAGGTTTGGGATATGATCTATATGTCTTTAAGTTATATATCATGTGGGTGCTTGAAAAGAATGTGTATCCTGCTATTATTGGGTTTAGGGTTCTATAAATGTCGATCAGATCCTGTTGATTGATGGTGTTCTTGAGTTATTTTATAACCTTGCTGATTTTATGTCTGGTTATTTTAGCAATTGTTAAAGGAGAGGTTTTGAAGTCTCCAACTACACTTGTGAATTTATCCATTTCTCCTTTCAATTCTGTCAGATTTTTCTTCACATATTTTGTAATTCAATTGCATGGTACATACTCATTTAGGATTACTGTCTTCTTTTTTAAAGATTTTATTTGTTTACTTTTGCATAGAAGCACTGGGGTGTAGGCCAGAGGTGTGGGGGGCCTGAGAGGATTCCCCAGAGACAGAGTAGGAACAGAACAGGCAGATCTACTGAAATACACTGCTGAGGGGAGCAGCGGGTGAGACAGGAGAGGTCTGCTGCGCCATGTGGGTTGCTCCCTGGCCAGGGATGAAACTCAGGCCACTGTGGCTGCTGATAGCTTGATAGTGCTGAGACTTTAACCCCTGTGCCACCAGGGTGGCCCGACTATGTCTTCTTGGTGAATTGACCCATTTATCATTATGTAATGTCCCTGTCTTTCCTTGGTAATTTTCTTTGTTTTTGTCTTCTGTTTATTTCTCTTTTCCTTTTTCCAGCCCTTTTTGGGGTACTTGAAAATTTTAAAGAATTTCATTTTGATTTATCTATCTGATTAGGGCATATTTCTTAATATTTATGAACAACTCTCTAATGGTAAATGGGAGTAATAATAATAGTAATACCTAGTTCACAGAATGAGTGTGCAAATTAAATGAAGTACCTAATAAAATAAGTCTTGTACCTTATAATTATAGCAATATTTAATATCAGTGGAATGTGTTCCAGGTCTTAAGTAGGTGTGGGTGCTTTGGAAACATTGTCTCATTTAACTCTAGCAACCCAAGGAGACAGGTGTTCATCCTCAGTTTTAATATGAAGAAATTCTGCTGAAGTGACTTCCCCAGGTTCTAGCTAGACCATTGGAAAGAATTCAAACCCTCATTCATTTCATACTAAATCTCATTAGTTTTCCCCTGATTCTATTGTACACTGATACTTGGAGGTAGGTATCCAGATCTTTTCTCTTCCATAGTATCCAGCACAGTAATCCACCCCTTGATACCCCCAGGAAGCATATTTGGGTGAATACTAAATGACTGACACGTAGACTCTGTCTTTCCAGGTTTTTTGGAGTCTCTGCAGAGCCCCTGGGCCAGACCCCACAGTGGACACAGCAGGCTCTTCCTTTCAGCCCTAGCAGCCTTGGCTGAGCCCTCAGGTGCTGCCAGGCTTCAACTTCCTGGGAGGAGAGGAGCGGTTGGTGAGAGGCCAAGGGCTGAGCCCAGCGGGTACATGGCAGCTGTGCGGCGCTCTCCCCGGTGGCCTCGGGTGCTGGAGGCACAGGGCCACGGCAGCACACGTGAGGTGAGGAGGGAGAGGACTCCAGGGGAAGGAACTCATTCATTGAGGAGACAGTCCTGACCTGTCACAGGGGCCTCAGGACAGGCGCAGGTGGGGCACAGGAATGACAGATTCCAGACTCCCTGTCCCGGAGATGGCCTGGCACCCCCTGCTGAGAGTGAGCACCACGTGGCTGATGTCCCGCTCCAGTCACCGATGTGTTTCAGTGAGAAATGTGATGGGACAGAGAGGAAGGGGTAGATAGGGGGAGCCCCACGGCGCACTGACTCCTTTAGGGTGTCTGGGTGGAGGGAGTGGCCGCTGGTCCTAGCCAAGGAGACGCTACTCCCTGCCACCCCACAGGCCCTTCACTGTCTCTTGGCTCTTTTCCGATACTCAGTTGGTCCC